CAGACTTGTCAAATGTTAATGAAAGTCCACCCTATTTCGAGATAATAATTACGTAAATGCACGATGAATCGAATTATATGTATTTTTTTTACGATTTATATCCCTAATATCCTTATTTTGTGAATTTATCGTTCCTACATCACCTCTTTTTGCTATAAATCGATTTTTGTATTGATATCGAAAGGGTATATATATATATGTCGTGAATCCGAATTTCGTAATTTTGTTTTCTTTTACGCGACCGATGCATGGTGAACGTTTTCGAATCTGAACAAAGTCGTTAATTTGTCGAATTCTAACTTTCAGCAAAGGGTGCACAAGAAAGGCAAGAAACCCTCGCAGGAGCTGTGGCCCCAGGCTAAGCAACTCGAACTTACGCAAGGTCGCAGATGGAGATGCCCGAACGACTTCTTCAACGATGAGATGATAGCGGAAGTGTTGTCCTCCCAAGCCGAAGTCATTCGCGGTAAAGCGATGGGGTAAGACCAATTTTATGACACTGATAAAAAAATTTTGAAACGAGTTAAAATTATACTACAAGATGGAAAGAATCCCGAGAATAGGTATTCACGATTGTTCTGATCCCAAGTGAAAAGGTTTTAAATCGATCGATTGTACAGAGTAAACTTCAAGAAGTTTGAGAAGACGAGCTTACCAAATTATGATTACCTGATGAATTCGAGTGTTTATAAGATGATTCATAAAATGGAGCGAGAACCGAAAAGTGGCATCCCCGCCAGACCCCCTAAAGTCAATGCGGCGGAAGATATAATCGAAAGAGTTGTAAGCGTCTCTTTGTAATTTTTCACGGCCGTCAATATAAATCGCTTAGACAGAATGGAGGTGATGATAATTAATTGTGAAGTCGTGACAACCGAAATATTTCTTAAGCGATTTTAAATGTGTTTACGGAAATATTTTAATGAAGCTGCCGGTAGCAGATACTGCCAATTAATCATTGTCATCCCAATATAATTGTGTGTTATTAGATCCCATAAATATCAAATCTTATCTGATTTCAAACTAACTAAAATTAAACAGATGACATAATCTGTCTGAGTAAATAATTCCAAACAAAATAACTCAATCGAATTAAAATTAAGTAGTTTAACATCTATTAAATTAATTAAATTAAGGTAACAAGACTACTTTTATTCCAATATTATTATTAACCGAGGGAGAACAAGGAAAATCTAATTTTTTAATATATTTTCAGAAATCACCGGCGTTGAGTGTTGTAGACGACAGAAGCGCTCGAAGCGTCAGCCACTAATGCAGCATCGTTCATAGATGATCAGAATGTAATATCTTATTCATACGCGAAAAATCTAAAAATCGTGTTTGAAGGATGTATTAAATCCATATATTTGATAAATTCAAGGAAACCGTTAGAAATTACTAGGAATGCAATTATCTGGCGTGTTGATCGCGTTTGAAGAATGTTACCGTATACTATCATCGAGATACAATGTGGTTGTAATAATTCTAAGCACGTGTGTGTGTGTACGTATGTTCGTATTCAAATCGCCTCGAGAAAGATTTTCCCCGCCGGCACACTGCACGTATATCAAAGAGATTAGCCTTTTTCTGTAAATTTCTGTACACGCGCGTTCAGATCAATTAATTCAACAAATATGTAAATGCGCCAAAGCATGGTAAATGTAATTAATTTGCGAATTAAGTATGTGAATTCAATTAATTTGCGCAAAATGCAGTTATACCTTGTTATTGTACATTTTTCTATAGTTGTAAACTGTAAAATCAAACAATCTTACATCCTGCCGGAATAATCAAGCATTATACTCCTCAAAATGTATGGCATTATTCTTTTACCAACAATACATATTATAATTACATCGTTATACAGGTTGTTTAGTGATCAGGTGTGACTAACAGGTAGTAGCGTCTGGTAATTAATTAATTTTTCGAGAAAAGTGATTTAGAAAGTGAATGTACGTGAAAGTAGCGTGCGTCCATTTTCATTTTATATTGACACTTACGTCCGCGTCCACTCGCTAATAAGGACATTAAGGTATTAATGGAAGCTGAGGGATCCATTTGCCTACGCCTGCTTATTATGCATTCCGGGAACCGATAGTATCGCCGTTAGTTTCTGTTAGCTTCTCGAAGCGATCGCGATACACTCTGTATACCGCTGTACGCTACGGGACCATCATTCCCACGTGGGGTACAGCGTGTACGCGTGGGTTCGTCATTCCGCTCAACGCGGATTACCCGAGGCGATTGCCGGATCTCCGGAACACACGATGATTGAAGTCGACCTAGAAAGGCAAGTTTCCGAGTAAACGACCGCAATTGTACGCTCGCTCGGAAATCCGTGCGGATGAGTCGCGAGGCTTACTTTCTCCTTTCCGGGGTTTCCGAGGTCCCTGTTATCCGCGTCTCGCGTATGCGTACGACCAGCTGAGTCACGTCTGCCTTCTTGGCCGATGAACCTCTTTAGTTTTCTCCTTCTCTCTCTTTTCTCTCTCTCTCTCTCTCAATTACTCACTCTTTCCCTCTCTTTTTCACTCTCTCTCCTCCCCCCTCTCTTTCTCTCTGTCCTCCTCTCACTCTTGCTTGTTTAGGGTCCTCGATCGTGACGTTGGCCCCGAGCAATTTATGTAAAGCATTCTAGGCATGATTCACGAACTAGTTCGCGCTCTCGTGACCGCCACCGGCGCAGAATGCAGTCGCCGCAAGCGCGGGTGCGTCCATCAAGGTATCCTGTCTGCGATTTTTCGAACTCGCACGTTATACCATTGATACGTTACATATCGATTTATGAGAAGATGCGTTTTGTTTCGGCTGTTGTATTTAAGCATGCTCATATCTATTACATATATATTATATCTAAGAGAAAAAGGAGGAATTAAAATAAAAAGTATTAATTGTACTGACAAAAATACTTAGGAGTTTTGGCAAAATTGGAACCTAACATTTTAATAGAATTTGAAACTAATAACATTTTTTTATATTGGGAAAAAAATTACACTGATATATAATAAACAATGTCGATTGGACCTTTGTCTCTTTCAGAGTAGATTTGACACTATTAATAATTTAATATTTTATACATAAGTTTTTGCGAGAAACATTATCAATTCTGATTTTGACGACAAAATATATATTTAATGTGACGCATAAATTAGTCTCGATGTGATCCTAAAAAATAAAGTTATATTAATTATACATAACTGGAAAATTGGAATAGTCGTTGTCAGATTAAGACTCTGTCAGATCCTAGAAATTAATGTTTATTGAATTTTAATGAGAATGTGAATTTAAAGCAGTTAAATATTTTTGACGAAAAGCTCGTAACATAATTTTATTGCGTGCCTCATGCAAAGGAATTCTCATATAATTTTTGTATACGGGGAAATAAAGGGGACAAGAAATTCTTTTCTCCAGAATAATTCATGTGTGTTTTCACCGCCACGGCGCGCGTCAATTTCGATAAATTCATATCTGATTACTGACATGGAAAGTATGTGACAGCGCGTTAAAATTTATTTAACGATCGAGTTTTCATTCGTAACCTTACACGACCTATTGATGACGATACTTAGGTCGTGACTTAGGTCTATCTCGCTCTTCTCATACATCGGAAGAAAATCTTCGAGATTCAGATAAAGGAGATTCCAAACATGCTCATATATACAATTAAAAAATTCAATTCCTTCTTACATGCTAACGCGCATTTTAATATACACATCAACGATAAAACTAAAAAGAAAATATAGTAAAAGAAACCAAGAGAAGATAATTGAAAAAATAACTCTTTCCTTTATACTTTACCTAAATAACTTCTAACATAGCCTAAAAATTTAAAATTTTTAATTCATAATTATTTATTTGTTAAATCTCTATAAGTAAAATAAAATAAAATTCTTTGTGCGATAAAAAATATATTTAGAAATTCTCCTTTCGAAATTAGTTAACAGTTTGCCGAAATTTCATTCATGATTATCATATTTCTCTCAATTTAAAATAATTTAGATCACATCGAACAAAGCCAGACAGAGTGGCGCAATTAGCGTAGTAGCGGAGAAGAACGGAAGAGACGCAAAACGCGTGCGCGCTCTTCTTGTCATGGTCATCGAGATGGTCAACTCGACATTCCCGATCTTGCCTCGTCCTTTTCCTTCGATCTGGTCCTCCTCTTTCCGTCCTGGCGTTATATCTTATTGCCTGCATCTTCCTCCCCTTGTCTCCTACCGCCATAGTATAAGGAGCACCTTGCACGATGCACCGGATGCATCGACATCCGCTCAGTCGTTTGAGAGGATATCGTTCTGGGAATTTTGTAATGAGTAATAATAAAAGATAATGTATTATTTTAATAATTAATTCGGAGGACGCTCCGTTTACTTTTCCGCCGTCTACCTTGGTTCCTTAGTCTCTATTTAGAACGGCGCTCGATTACATTCCGTCGCAGACTATTATTTCGCGACCTTATTTCAGAATCCGATTGTCTTCGCTTCGTAACTTTGCGACAAAGGTGGTCGTCGCGCGAAGAATTTGCATTATTTCGGACATTAAGAAAGATTCCAACGAAAATAGTTTGCATTGCAAGGAGGAATAATTCTGTCTTGTTCCTGCAAGACATCGGTTTTATTTTACTGTGTCTAAATCTAAATACCTTTCTTCTGAAAGATCCAAATGGTTTCAGATTCGAATTCAATATTGAAACTGTTCGATTGTCTCGGATGCTGATTTTGAAATTGACTTAAAAGACTTTTGATTGAAATTTCGCCATTTATTTTCGCGGAACGTCGCTGTTCGAGAAAGATTCCTGCCAGAATACAATAAATTTGTCTCTTTTTCCTCTCTCCATCCCCGCCTTCCATCCAGCTGCCTTCTACCCACCACGCATTTCCCTCCATCCTCCTGCTATCTCCCTCCTGCTATTCCTTCCCTTTCCTTCCGCGCTCTCGCACTCCTCCTCTTCGTTCCGAATCGCGTGGCGAGGAGGCCCCGCTGCCCGACTGACCGTCCTCGGCGCCTCTTATACCTTTACTCCGGTCTGCGCGTTCTTCAGGGAACGTACGTGCCCGTTTCACGTTCCACTCGAGAGAGCGCGATACATATACCCCCGTTTTATAGAGTACACGTATACACAAACGGCCAACAAACGGACGTTGTCGACCCCAATTGTCAGTGGTGCATCGCGATATCTCCAAGGTATAGCCGAGCCGAGCTAAGGGCTCGTTCACCAACAGCCGTCGTCGCAGTTTTTCGAGATCGATTTCACCGTTCGTTCGTACGATCGTTTAATTTCGACCTACGGATCGACAGTTCGGGCAAGACAGTGATATGGCACAACTGATCAGCGTCAAGCTGTCCAGGTTCGACGGGTCCCCCTGGGGCTTCCGTCTGCAAGGCGGCAAGGATTTCGGCACGCCGCTCGTCGTGCAAAAGGTGAGTCAATCTGGATCGTTCACTTAACCCTTTACTTTGATGTCCGGGACTTGACGTCAGCTATGATTTTTTTTCTAAGAATTTTATCAACTGTGATATGATAGAAGTGATAACGTAGGTCTCTCCCTCACAAATCTCTTTCGGAATATACCTATTTACGTTATACGTATTGACATAGCGTTATGATGTTTGTAAAATATTTAAAATTGCTTGTTCGTTATATTAATATATTAAATTATATTATGTTATATTTAAATAAATTTTAACAAATAATCTCTATATATTGTGATAGGTGTAACTCGAGTTAAATAACTGTGCGATGCGATGACGCAAAAATATACACAACGTTGTGTTCGAGTTTTAAAAGATGCGCTTTTCCGCAAATCTCTGTTGACAAATACGTTTTCCATACTATTCGCGGCATTGTTCACGTTTGTATCTTTTATATTGATTATTATATTGATTATTGCGCGCTTACCACATACAATGTTTCTCGAATATTATTGATCCATTATGAATATCTTGAAAGAAATATCGTGAGAGATTTTTTAAAGAGATTTTTGAAGGAGCGTAGCTCAAGAAGCCACTCGAGCTGGATCTCTCAAGGCAGAAGCAGTAGTAAAAATATTTCTTGCAGCCGTTTATATATAGCGATGTTTTATATGGCTATTTTCATCTGCGGTTCCTTGTCGTTCGCTCAACGTTTCTCGATAGTCAAACATTTCGACAGTAGAGAGGATCGGCCTCGAAATCACGAACCTGCCGATTGTAAAATGAAGAGAAACCATACAGCGCTTCTATATGCACTCGCTTCTACACGACGTTCTTTCTCGTTTGCGTCTTTCCTTCGTTCGTCGCTCGCGAGATATCAATTGCCACAACTCGGGCGGAATAGAATTTTCATTGAACACAAAGATATATCGATCAATGTTCCCGTCTGACAATTGGAGCCTGACAATCGCGAGTAGCAGCGTTTCCATTATGCGACGATTAAACCTCTCTTGAGATGTCAGCGCATTTTCCATTGGTCAAATTTATTACATTTATTACATTTTATTATAATTAACATAAATTTACAATCTACTGGAATAAATTTATATCATATTATATACATAATCCCGTCTCCGCAGATTCGATCATGATGCAATTATGCGATACCTTCCGTATCTACACTTATTAGAAATTTTTGTCATATCTTAATTTTATTATGTAAATTCGTTCCGCGGCGTGTGATTAAACATTTACGAATCTCTGGTACGCGGAAGCGAATAACGATAATGAACTCCGAGAGCGGGAGCGAGACGAAAGTGAAACGCAAACGGGATCCCTCGCGTCTCGTACTCGGAAATGAAATCTGTATCAAAGGCTGAAGTTGACACTCGACAGGCAGACGGCACGTGTTAATGTTCCGCAACGCGAGTCCCTCGTTCTCACAATTAGTACGCGATCTAAAATACCAATATCGATTACCACGAAAATGAGGATATCGGAATCGCTTTCGGTTGGTCTCTTATTTTACGCGACGAAACACGTCTCAAGTACAAATAATTCATAAGAAAATATAATTAAAAAACAGATTTCTTTATTCTACTTTATTCGATTCGAAATAAAAATCAAAAAATTGTTGACAATCGTAACAATTGATTTAATCATTATCACACCGATTATCATTATTCTTCTTTATTCGCCTTACAAATCTCTCGATATCGTTAACACCCTACGATCAACAAAATCCTCGTACAGATTTCAAGAGGGAAAGGAAAGCCGATCTCTGGAACGCGGAGAGCTTTCTTGCGCGAGCTTTTCGTTCTTCAGGACCGTGAGATCGGGTGTGTTTTGATATTACGATCTAGAGGAGCGTCACACACATACGCGTTACGTAACGCGACGGCAAACGCCAAATTATTTCACGCGCATCGGCAGAAATCGTTGCCAACTACGTGAGAAACGCCGGGCTCGCCGCCGCCACCGCCGCCGCCGTTCGTCGCCGCCACCGCCGCTTCCGACGTGTTTTGGCGATGCTTGGCGCTGTAACACGAGAAGCTTTTGGCGAACGTGTAGAGACGCGGGTCGCTATTCCCCGCGGATTCTTTCCCGCGATTTTTCCCGAGCGTTCGGGCAGCGTTATACGGCCATAAGCGCTATTATTAAGAAACGTTACGGCACGTAAGTGCCAATGTCGAGCGGCGCGCGGCTGCGGCTGCTCCATCGCGAATTTAAGCGACAGCTTTCACGCGCGAGCTGTCAGAGATTCAACGTTCTCTCGCGCGCTCCCGTAAGGTAAATGTCCCCATGGCCGACCATGTTCCCTCTACCGACTTTTTTGACGTGAAACGTTGTTTACGAGGCTGCTGATTCAACAACACGTTCATTAGTGCAGTGGAAAAATTCAGGAATTCGTGCAGTACAAAATAATTATAACGTGCAGAGTAAGTACAATAGTTAAATATATTTTTTTTCGCATTTCTTGCCGCACGTCACCATCCACGCGTATTCTTAAGAGTGAGGTTAGGAATTGTCGGTCGCCTAAATAGTCCGTATTTCGTTCAAAATCCTTTTGTAAGGAATAATCCGAGCGCTAAATGGTTTGTTACAATTTGATTGCCATATTCGAAAAAAAAAATTAGTCAGAAACTGTCATTTTTTTTATTTATTCGATGGTCGAGGTCAGACACAGCAAAACGCCTGCATGTCCCCAGTACCATACACGTAAACGTCAGTATCATCGAAGCTGCGGAAGCCGACGGCTGCGGTGAGGTTATCCGCTTAGAGGCAGTACTATGTGGGATCTCGGTAGTCGCGGCGCCGTGGTGTTGAGTGTGACGTGTGGGTGCGTGCTGATATACAACGCCTGCTCGTCAACGACAGTCTGCTGTCGCCGCACGCGTATCACGTTCTCGGTTACCTGCGGGAGGCGATTCACGAGCTCGGCGCGGCCCTCCGTGTCGTCCACGTCCACGGTACCGGTTACGTGCGTAAGCTCTGGCACAGTGCGAGCCGTTGTTACCGCGAGCGTTTCCCTTCGTTCAGGATGGACAGGCGACGCGCGAGCAATTATCAGCTCAGCAGCGACTCGTACGCTGCCAAGCGCGGAGAGTCGCCGTCGTTACCGTCATCGCCATCGTCGTCGTCGTCGTCGTCCAGGTTTGGCTTGATAAAAATACCTTTTCATGACTTATGTGTATTTATCATGTTTATCATTGATTTATGTTTATTTTTATGTTTACTTTTCGGTTGAAACCTCCGCCTCGCATGCTCTGAAAAAAGGTAATCGGTAATGGGGACATGCCCGGTCAAAATTGGACACAGCTGGTCGGTAGAGAGGGCACGCACTAGTGCGCCTTTATTCTTCTCTATCTAGAAAAATACTTGACGGAATGGATTGAGCCTACGATTTTTGGAAAGTGCATGGATGAAGCTATCCACCAGTATGAAACTCTTTATCGAATTTATTTTTGTCACGCTTGACAACGCCATTCTTTTGTTGGGTCGGCCTTATAGGTGTCGGCCATAGGGACATTTACCTTAATCCGTAACTCCTCGCGCGAACTTTTTGTTGACGGGAGTACGTTTATGCTGTTTCGTCTACTCGACGTGTTTTAAAAGCTCGGGTTATTGTGTGAGTCATTCCGCTTTGAAGGCCGCTCTGACATTTAGAGAACGCAGTTCTTACAAAATGCCCCTGTAACGATTATTTTAAAAAATCATCCTCCTTTTTATCGTTGAAAAGAAAAAGAAAACTCGCCTGTAATAACGTATGTAATTCTCATACAAAGTTCGTGCAAAACTCCGTATTCGATTCGTTGTTAAAAGGAGGATACGTATTTTCGTGTTCTTCACGAAATATAATTTCGACAGAAAATCGTTGTAATTCGAGTCTCAAGGACGGCATGAGATTCCTCGGATTTCCTGCCGCACGCTCGGACATTTTCGCGGATCTTAACGCGTTTTGGCGAGAGACATCGTCGCGATTGCGCGATTGCGCGATCGAGTTCAAGTACCCCGAATCGCGAGGTAGAAATCGGATCGGTAATCGTCTGTCTGCGAGAACCTGTGCGAGACGCCTTTTGACACCGTCGGACTCATATTTCTCTCCTTTCCGAGAAGGCCGGGGGCGGGGGGCGGCCGGACGCTCGCCGTATTTGCGGCCTCGTAAAATAAACGAACCACGTGGTGCGCTACGAAGAAGGCCAAGTTCGAAACGCCGATTACGAATAAAACCATTTGGCGCAGCCTCGTTAATTTCCAACCCTTTAATCGCGCGAATAACTGATCGTACGCGTTTTCCTCGGCTAAAGGACGCATTTTCGGACGGAGCGCGGTTGAGGAAACACGACGCGGACATTTATATATACACGAGATATTTATATACTAACGTTGGCGATTTTTAAATGCAATATTTACACAATATTTTTGCAACATCAAATGTCAAATATACTGCATATAAAGATCATCAGACGTTCGATGAGAATATAATTTTTCGTTTCATTGCGACTTGTTTTTACTATAATATAAGTCCTACAGAATTTCTCGCTCGTAGAAAAGTTTAGTGACAAGAATTAAAGTTACTTTAAATAAAATAGCCTCTTTCTTTCTTTCTCAATATTTTAAGCAAAAATTGACGTATAAATGGATTTAACGTATTATTCCGGCATTTGGGATTATATATACCACGAGACTTCTGAATTCCTAACTTCCTATTCTCTCAATTCTCTGTTATTTGTTCGCGTGGAGACTTCGCACGATAACTCCGTGATCTCGTTTTGAAAGTTGGGAAAAATGCGCCCACGAGGATTAGCTCCGATGAGGAAGAGAAGAAGGGGGAGAGCCACCGGCGTACGTCGCTGGTAATCCGAGGCAAATTATTTGGGCGTTCTATTTCTAGAAGGTGCCTTTGCGAAACCCGCGCGAGCCAGGTCGGGCCTCGCTCGCAACGACGATGGCAGCGGGCGCCGATTTCGACGTCGTCTTCGCGGGAAGACCCACGTTTTCTTCCCGAAACAAACAACGCGGCCGCGAGTATCCGGTTTGCAGTCCCGTTCGAAACGAAATCGAACGATTTCTATATCGACCAACAGCCAGACAGGGAAATATTTAGAGTCAGACACGCATTTTTGGAGGCTGCGTAAAAACGTTAGGGGCCTCGTTTATCGTGATTTTACGAGTGAATACGCACGCGAGCCTTGTCGATCACCGCAGCAATAAATATTTTCACTATCGGACCGATCAAACTTGTGTAAATCGACAAAAATACGTCTCCTCCTACTTAGAAGATAGGAATGGTAAACAAATATCGCGAAGGTTCCCCAGTGTAATCTCAGATACGAGGACTGCACGCGCGCGTGCATCTCGGTCTCCGATTTCCCTTACGTACCTTCCACACAACGAATATAACAAAATAGCAGCAATATAATTTCATTAATTTCAGCATAAAAAGAGCGGAAATAATTGTTGATATTCAGTGACATGGGAGAAATCTATTCTAATTTTAATTTAATTGGGTGCGTCAGTTAAGTAGTAATGCGTTTTAATTCGTTTAAATTGTACTTCAGTACCATATTTCTCGCGTGCGTCGTCGGATCTTCTTATCGCTCTTAATTACACGCGTTAAATTTTAATGCAACGTACAACTTTTCGAAGATCACGCCCAAGATTTGCCGTGCGGCAGGTTTTTATCCGTAGATTATTCCCCTCGCAAAAGAGAGAGAGATTGTATCTGCTTACGCTTCCCGTAATTCCACGGCGAGTGCACCAGTGCACCGGTGCATCGAAGCGTGGGCGTTCGCGTTACGCGATATTTTGCTGGAAAACGGCGAGCACGCACGCGTGTCGCGTTATCGCGCCGTGTAGAAGGACTCGACGTGAGTTGCGAACGTCGTTAGCCGATTACGACGTCACGCACCGTTGATAAGGACTTTTCCAGGTGCGAGGAGACCGCCGCAGGTGAAAGGTGTGACACGAGAAAAATATTTCAAAGGAATTTTTTTCGGCGTATACTAACGTCACGCACGTGGCGTTGACCTAATAATAGCGTGTCGTTCTGCTAATTAAACTGGACTTCCTCATGCGTTGTACATATAATGGAATTTTGACGAGGCTACGCAAGAAAGCGTTTTGCCTCGCGATTAATGTTATTATAGGTGTGCTATTTGTTGGCTACAGTGCGCAAAAGAACTTATAATATTTTACTATAAGCAACTACTAAAAAAAAGAATAAATTAATAATGAGATAAACTCGTTAACGTATACTAGTTTTAATAAACGTTTTTTTAAAAAATGCATAGGAATTTCGAGCTGAAAGTTAGATTAGTTACAATTGAACCTATAAATGTTAATTGACAGTTTTATATGTGACACTTTTTGTTCACAAGTCCTTTGAATAAAATTGGCTTTGATCGATTCACAATCCACAAATAAAATCTTTCTGAGGTGAATATACGATGTGTGGCAATATTTGACGATTTGCTACAGATGTGGGTGGTTCAACGAGAATAAATTCCAGATGAAAAGAAAGTCTTTAATAACATGCTCATTTAACGAGCAATAAAGTAGCTCATTAAATATGAAAGCCTGTCGTTTCTTACAAGAACGATCGCTTTCTGGAACATTGCATTCAAATGCGATACAAATCTGTGCAATCATTATCTCCGTTGGCGAAATTTGAAACCAGCGTGGACGTATGGTTCACAAAATCGATTATTTTTCTTAATTAGATACATTGCACAAAAACGGTCTAATCATGTTTTCTTGTTATAGAGCTATTTGAACAGAAAGTTATATTAAAATTAAATCTTCTTAATTCTCTTTGATGATTAAAATTAATCATTAATATACGTATATAATAATTAATCATAATTAATCATAATTACAAAGTTGTTAACAAGTACATACAAGAGACGCAACATACATGATAAAATAGCTAACTAACATTTTAGGAAGTAACCTTCATTTTCAAGCGATTAGGTTATCTATAGTGACAACACATACACGTGTACATCACTACTAATGATGATAGTGTCGCCAAAGCATGAATTCTTAGATAGGTATATACCACACTACAAATCCAAGTGTGTTATTTTTACATAAACACCTAAAAATAACACATTAGACTGAAATTCTTTTTACATGTTTCTTTATGTGTTAAATTACGTCATTTAACACGTTAAATCGTTTTAAATTAAAAGTAAATAGGGGTATTCAAATAAGTTAGAGTTTAACGGTTTGACAGGTTATGTCGGGTTAAAGTCGGGTAAAAAGTTAATTTTTAAACTTTTAATCCAAAGATTAATGTGATTAGGTTAATGAGTCACTTATGTATTTTGCATAACCTTAAAGAGTAGCGCGCCCAAAGTTAATTAATTAACTTTTTACTCGACTTTAACCCGACATAACCTGTCAAATCGTTAAACTTTAACTTATTTGAATACCCCTAATATGTTCAATCCTGTTAAATGACGTGGTTTAAAACGGCAAGAAACATGTGAAAAGAGCTTCAGCTAAAATAACACTTATATAATACACAATAAAATCTTATCTCTCTTATCAAGCAGGAAGCGCGTTTCGGTTTCTATCGGGGTAAATATTTAGCTTTTTACATCGACTATCTAAAATTATCCCTTCGACTGACTGCGGCTGTACTGCCGGCAATCGCGAGTTCTGTTTACGCTGTTGCATCCGCACTGTTGCGCACGATGCGACCGGGAAATCTTGGCGCGATTTGTTTGCGGACGCAAGACGAGAGTGAATTGGATTTCGCTAGTGCATCGAATGGACCGGGGACCGTTCGTCGTGATTCGGCCGAAATCGGCGTCGATGAGGGCGGAAGACGAGCATCCAATCTGGATTTCCGCGAAGTGCATTCGCGTGCGATTTGTCGCGTTAAATGAGGACGAAAACCGAGAAAATCGTCCGCGAATCCTCGGCCAACGATCCGAGAGTGACAGACTCACACTTGCAAGCCAATTTGGTTTCTCCTGTTTATATCATGGAAAACTGTACAGTTTCCTGGCAGTTTTTACATAGTATAAATAATATCAAAATAATATAAGAGTAATACGTTACAAGTGAATTAAAATTATTCTAAATGCATCACCGTTAAAAAGTAATTTCCATGTAAATACTAATGATTTTATATTTAACATTAATGCGCAACAGTGTGAAAGAATAAGATAATTAATTACTTATATTGCGTATACCAATTAAATTTAATCGCTTCTAACATCAGATAATTAAAGTTGATTAGTCATGATAAATTAAATCTCTGTGTTTAACACGTGTGATTAAAGTTCTCAGGAAAGGTGAACGGAGAGCGGTGATCAATTTACATTGTTTTGGCAAGAGTTACGCATATTTTCTGGGCGTAAATGTGGCACGAATCCGAATTCCTGTGAAATGAAAATTCGTCGAGATTTCTCGCCGCTCTAGCGGACCAGGTGATATTCGGGAGAGTGGTGTACCAACAAAAAAAAAAGAGAACGGGGGGGGGGGGGGGAGAGAGAAAGGCAGGCGCAGCGAAGGAAGCAGCGACGAGAG